AAAATTCAGTTTGCTTAGTGTAATTTTTAACGTATGTAAATGTAGGTAGAAAAGATCCAATATTGATAAGATAGCGAAGAACGAAGTGCACAATGCTCTGACCGCGGGCTCCAAACATGCTTCCTCTTGTCGGGGGTTTAGTAGGTAGTACGCACCGGCCCTATATATAAAAATCTGGGGAACAATTACATAAAAGTTTTCATTGAAGAATGTAGAGCTACATTGGCTAGATATGATAGCTCAGCTAGAGATGGACTGCTTCACAGAAAGTGTCAACCCGTATGACGAAGAAGATAACAGGGCGAAATCGAATAATATTTAAGGATTGCATTTTAGGCAGCAAAACATTCATCAAAGTTGATAATAATGTCAAGTTAAATTCATAGAATTAATGTAAGTTTTTGGTTAAAGCGAATTCATTGAAAATTTCACAGTCGAAAGCTTTATACTAAAGAATTTGTTTCGGCATAACTAAACTCTTCCTCGTTCTGAATATCTAATTATTGCTAATCTACCAAAAAGTTTTTCAAAGACTTTTATGCAGATGACACAGTATTGTTTGCAGGGACGTGAACTAAAAAAAGCCCCAACAGAAGGTAGGGAAGGAAAGCGAGAAGAAAGGACTAACTATAAACTACAAGAAGATAGATTACATGGTTATAAGCAAAAGGGTAAGCCCAAAATGCATATTACAAATTGGGGATACTCAAACAAGTAAAGACATTTAAATATCTTGGAATTGTTCTAACAGAGGAAAGAAAGTGCCACACTGAGATCCAAAGACCTATTGGGATGGCCAAAGATGCATTCCAAAAGCTAAGCAGAGTATTAAGAGACTAAAAAATTTCGTTAGAAACAAAGAAAAGAGTACTGAACTGTTACATAGCAGAGAATCCTGGACAATCTTCTCAAAATGAAGAAGGAACCTGAAGCAACAGAAATGTGGTTTTACAGAAGGATGCTGAGGCTACCATGGACTGAAAATGTGAACAACGACAAGCTTTTGGAGAAAAGAAACAAAAAATTAACTTATACTTAACACCCGGAAGTGGCATTTGAAATTTATGGCGTAAGTAATAAGAAAGGAGGGCTTGGAAAACTTGATACTCACAGGGCAGATTGAAGGAATGAGGGATAGAGGAAAACAGCGCGTAACATACTTGTTACAATTCTTGCAGTAGATGAAATTTTCTAATTTTTCCAAAAATTACGATTTTTTTTTCAAATCAAGGGCACATACAAAAGACGAATTATGGAAATTCTGCAGAGTTTTACAGATTCCGATGAAAGATTTGTTCGAATTAGTGACCAAAAATATCTATTCAAAAATGAAATACTTTAATAGCTGAAATTCTTTTCTTCAGGCTGAAATCGTTTATCTCGTTATTTGAATGGAAATATCGAATAGAAATTTGCTAAAAGTTAGCGCATTTTCTTTCTTGTTTTTTTAATGATAGGGTTTTCGGTGCTTCATCGTCAGGTTTATAGGCTGTAGGAAACCTTTTGTGGTATTTTCTTGTAACCTCTTATACGTCATAAAAATAGGATCATTTGTTAGCCCTTGTTTTGTTGTATAACTTCGCGAAACGAATACTGACCAGAACCCGAAACAGAAGAATTTCTTGGCTTCTAATTATGTCTTAACCTAAGCATTCGATCGACTAATGTCCTCTTCCTCTTCCATTTTTACTATGCCTTTGTTGAGAATAGGGCTATCCCAAGTGTTGGTGTTTGTGGTTTCTGTATAACAAGTTTAAATCATCTTTTTGGGAAGCACTTAATTGCTTATCGTTGTTGAATTCACACAAGGCTAAATATTGTCTCCGTAGATTTACATCAGTAGAACACAACATCTCATTCCGTACTGCTAACACATTGAGGATATTTATTTCCGTAAAAACAAAAAAAGGTGGCACAAGGCCTAAAAAGGGGAGATTGGGGAAGGAAGGTCATCATCTGTCTTAATTTAGAAACTTAACTAGCCACAACCACTGACCCAATCAAACAAAACAATATTCCTATCACCAAAAGAACACATTCATACTTACCTTTCTTACTACAACCATCAAAATACCTCATTGTCTCAATGAAAATCCTAAATAGTCCTGCATATGTACATATATAGTCTGTGGGGGGAGGGGGAAAAACAAGTTAAAAAATCCCCAATGATTATGTACAATATGACTTAAAATATTTACACGCAACTAAATAAAATCATGTTAGTAATAAATCCCACCACAAGCCTTAAATGTGGCAGAAATATCAGTTAACTGGACGAAATCGATGCGAGGCTATAAAATATAGAAAACATTCATCCATCCCAAGTGGATGGGGAATTAAACTTAAATAAAAATAGGGACAGAAATAAAAGGGGCCAATGAGCATAAATACCTTAGCTAAGTTTATAGAAAAAGGAGACTAAAAATTAAAAAAAAAACAAATCTAAGCTAACCTAGTTTCGGGTTGGGTTGCCTATGTTCAACCCAGATAAAGCAATGCCTAACCGGTATCAAAATGCCACTCAAAAGTCAGTCACTCACACGACACAAACGCGCAAGATTTACCCACCTTTTGCCGAATTCTGATGAAGTGAGTCGCCGCCTTTCCGTCCTAAGCTGATGCTTAAAGTATAAGATCAGTTGGGAAGAAGTGAACTTCACGCCTTCATAGAATCCCTTCTGACGTGTCGTCCAAATCACGACTCTCATAACACCTACCAAGCATAAGAACACATAATGTTCAGCCCTCGTCAGCGGCGGAGCCACATTGCTACAAACAGAAGCGGCCTCAAGGACAAAGAACAGGCAACATGCGAACCATGAGGCCTTCAACATAACTGCACAACGGCGCTACCACCATGCAATGGAAGAAGGCGTGACCAATGGTCTCGACTTCCCCGCTACAGCGGCGGCAGTTTAGATATTTCTCCAAGCCCGCTGTGCAAAGTCTCTTGGGGACCCAGAGGGCCACACGCATCACCAGCCAGGTGAGTGAGGCTTCATTGCCAACACATTGAGGATTTGTTATCACTGTTTTGATATATTACTAACAAAATGCGTTTACAACATTAGCTGTAGCATTACAATTTTTAAAGTATATTTTAATAAATATTTCATCTGCGTTTTTATTTTGTAATTATTTTTTTAAATTGGAGTATATAAGCAACCTCTGTGTATAAACATTTTTTTAACTTATCGTGTTTGTCAGATTAAAAGTCAGTCGTAAGTTAGAAAACCTAAAGCGTCCATAATAAGCAATTTAAGAAATCTGTTATTTCAAATTACTAAGATTAGTTGAACGAAACCGAAAAATCATACTTATTATAAAACCCAGGTTGTGTGTGTGTGTGTGTGTGTGTGTGTCTGTTCGTTTATATATTGGATCGGATTTCCTACATTTTTCAACCGATTTCAACAAATCTTCACAGGACTACGTAAAATTACCTTGCGGTGGTTCTGACAGTGACAAAAATTGGAAAACACAATTGTTTTTGCACGAAATCAATTTGAAAACACGATTAAGAGGCATTGCGAGAATGATATATCGAGTTATACTTATTATAAAACCCAGGTTGTTTGTGCGTGTGTGTGTGTGTTCGTTTATATATGGGATCGGATTTCCTACATTTTTCAACCGATTTCAACAAAACTTCACTTTTTTTTGGCAGGTAGTGTTTCTTATTGTCTTTCACACTTTTTTCTTTATTTCTACATTCAGAATGCTTTAAAAATTCCATTTACAAGACAATTGTTTATAATAAAATTCTATTCAATCATAACGATTGAAAACAATGTTTTTGTTTGAGTTTGGGTTTGACCAATTCGTAAAAAAAAAAAAAAAAAAAAAACTAATTAAGACATGCGTGTCCGTCAACCTTAAACAATAATCTTTGTCAATTTAATTTTTCAGTCTTTATGATGGTCGATATTTGATCTATTTCTTACTGTTACATCCCCGGGCAACGCCGGGCTCTACTGCTAGTTAAGGAATAATCTAAATAAGACGAAAAAGTATGTTTCATTAGATTTTCTCAAAACTGCATCGAATTATTTAAACAATTTAAAAATAATAAGTTTGCTGAATTAATTATTATTATTATTATTAATAATAATAATGATATTAATAATAATAATAATAATGATATTAATAATAATAATAATAATAATAATAATGATGATATAAACATTAAACATTTATTCAAATAGTTCTCTCTTGGTCAACAACTGCATGTAACTTTGTCCAGAGAAAAAAAAAATCGAGAGGACTTAGTATAATGAGAAAAATTGATGTCTTGCTAAAAATGTTGTTTCAGTGGAACTTTTAGAGAGTTAAGTGCAATTCTACGAGAATTTATTTTGTTCTGTCCATCGAATGAATATTCGGCTAATGCTGTGAAATTTGAAGAGGAAAACATTCATATTAAAAAAGGTCAATAAGGTCATTTGAAACAGTTCGAGTTATCTTTGAAAAGCTGACAGATCAACTGTGATGTGACTTTTGCTTTCCAATAATAACACTAAAAATGAGAGCGATACTGCGCAAGTTCCCAAACACTGATATGTTTTAACGTTTTTGTAAAGTTATTGTCTTATTAAGAAAACTAGCAACGCATTCTTACACCATATTTTCGTCCGTCGTTTCTTTCCTTCCTTCCTTCCTTCCTTCCTTCCTTCCTTCCTTCCTGTCATGCTCCTTCCTTCCTTCCTTCTTTCCTTCCTTCCTTCCTTCCTTCCTGTCATGCTCCTTCCTTCTTCCTTCCTTCCTTCCTTCTTCCTTCCTTTCCTTCCTTTCATTCCTTCCTTCCTTCCTTCCTTCCTTCCTTCCTTCCTTCCTTCCTTCCTTCCTTCCTTCCTTCCTTCCTTCCTTCCTTTCATGCTCCTTCCTTCCTTCCTTCTTGTCATGCTTCTTCCTTCCTTCTTTCCTTCCTTCCTTGTTTGTTTTCTTTTCTCTCTTTACATTACTCAATGTTTCTCTTTCTTTTGTCCTATTTTTTTCCTGGCTTACGGCCATATCACGTTGAAAGACCGATTCTCGTACAATCACCGAAGTTAAGCAACTTCGAAACTGGTCAGTACCTAGGTGGCTGACCGCTTGGGAATACCATATGCTGTAAGATTTGATATGCAGGTACTGTAATGGATAACGGCTCGAAATTGGAAGTCGGGAAACAAAGTTCCAATCGCAGACGGCTTCGTTATATTCACTTTAGCGTTAATACCCTTTCTTAGATACCCCCGATATGGATTAATTAGTACAAATTGTATCTGTAAATCATTAACAACTCAAAAAAAATTCTTACAATCTAAAACTATTTTCTGACTTTAAGTAACTTGCAAAGGGTTGGTAAGCCGTCAAAAATAAAATCGATCAATCACTCTATTCTTTTCGACCTCACGCTTTCTAGTTTCTTTTTTATTGCTTTTTCTACTGTTCTTGTTTTTCTTTCACCTTTTAGTGTTATTTTGTCATTTCTCCAAGACTTCATTCTTTCTTTCCATCCATTTTCTTTCATCTTTATTTTTTTCATCATCTCAATCAACACACCCCGTTCTTATTTCTGCGTTTTCCTTCTCTTCCTTCGTCTTTTTCGTCATTCATTCAATTCTTCTTCTTCTTCTTCTTCTTCTTCTTCTTCTTCTTCTTCTTCTTCTTCTTCTTCTTCCTCCTCCTCCTCTTCTTCTTCTTCGTTTTTTGTTTCTCTCCCTTCTTCTTCTTCGCTTTTTGTTTTTCTTCTTCTTCTTCTTCTTCTTCTTCTTCTTCTTCTTCCTCCTCCTCTTCTTCTTCGTTTTTTGTATCTCTCCCTTCTTCTTCTTCTTCTTCTTCTATCACCCGCCCTCTTTTCACTCTTATCTTGTATTCTTTCTTTCCTTTTCACTCTTCCTATTTGACCCTTAACTTTTCATCCTGTCTCCCTCCTTTCTGTCTGTTTCTTTTTCACCTTCTATTTTTTCCTTTTCAGTTTTAACTGTTTACTTTTGTCTTTTAATCATTGTCTTCTTTCACACTCCTTCCTTCCGATCGTCTTTTTTCTTCTCTTTTTATTCTTTCCCTCTCACACTTCTTCTTTTCACTTTCCGATGTCTCCCTGCTTTCTTTCCTTCAGCTTTTTCATCTTTTGCCTTTTTATTTCATTCACCTCTTCCTTCTTTCCATTTTTTTGTATTTTTTCTTTGTCGTCTTCCTTCTTTCTCTTCTTTCATCTTTAATTTCCTTCGTTCTTTCTTAAATCATGTTCTTTATTCCTCTCTTTTTTTGTTCTCTTCATCTTTCTGTCTTCTTTTGATCATTCTTTCCGGCTTATCCCTTTTCTTTCCCTCGTCTTTTCATTCTTATTATCCCCTCTAATCTTTTTGCTCTTTTTCTTAACAACTTATTCCATTTCTCTTTCATCTGTCTCTTATTTATACACCTCTTTCTTTAGTCATTATATTCATTTTCTTTTTCTTAATTTCACCGCCATTCATTTATTCTTATTCTTCGATTTCTCTCTTTCTCGTAGATTTAATTCTTTTTTTTATATACAAGTCTTTCTTTTCCAATTTCTGTTCTTTTTTTTCTTTCATCGCTCTTCTGTTTTACGTTTAACTCCCATCTCCCGTTTCCAAGCCTTTCTCTATCTGATGTTCAACCAAGCTTAACATAACAGATTAGCCATTTTTTTTCAACAACTCTCCAAGAATGAGCGTTAGATTACAGTTCCACCATTTTATTGTGCCCAGAGCAGATCAATAACATCAGGTTCGTCGCATCCATACGCAAGTTTCATGTGAGAAGTTTCACCCACCCCTCGTATCTCCGTTCCTCTTCCTCGTACCTTCTTACCCCCGTCCATTCTTAAACCCCGTCCCTTACTTCTCTCCTGTCAACCTCTTTCCTTGAATTCGTCTAAATCTTACCTTTGTCCGCATTCATTCATTTTTACTGTTTTCAATTTTTTCTTTCTTTTATGATTCGTTGTTTTGTGTTTTCTTTTATTTTACTTCTTTAATGATAGAAATAATTCTTCTCTCTCTCTCTCTCTCTCTCTCTCTCCCATTTTTCTTTTATTTCTTTCCTTTAATCTCAGCGTCGCCATCTTTAACACCTTTTTTTCCTGTTCCTTTTGTCAGTTATAGAACGTTTTTCTTCCTTTCTCAACATATTTGATGTTTACTGGCTTTTTCTTTCCATTTCCTTCATCTCGTTCTCTTTTTGCATTTCCCCAAGGTTCTTACGTATATTTTCCACTTCCTTTCTTCATTCATTATTTGTTCTTTCACTTTCCTTCTTTTAAAACAAAAAAGAAAAATAAACCCTTTTTGTTATCCCGGCATCCCACCTTTCTTTCTTTTTTTTTTCAACTCGTCCTTCGTCCCGCTTCTTTTCCCACTCTGTAATTCTCTCCAAACCTCCACCTGTCCTCTTCAGCCCGCCACAACTTCATCCACGAACATCTTATTTAATAATTCCCTTAATACTTTTTTTTTTTTTTCTGTTCGTCTATTTGGCTGTCTGTCATTTTTAATTGACCCTGTTTCTTTCAGTTTTATTATTGTCGTTACGATTATTATTTACCTCAAATTGAACAAACGCCTGCCTCAATCAAAACATAGCGGTAGCCATATTGATGTGAGGCAAAAAAATAACAAGAAAGCACCGGTTTGGCGAAATATTTCTTTCAAGCTTTTAGATAAAAATAAGACAAAGTAATCATACCAAATTTCTTTTATTATCAGACGTTTTGGCAAACTTTCGGTATTGCTTATGGTCTAATTTTACTTAAGAAAGACAGAAGATGCTTTGAAGAAGAGAAATGATTGTTTCAAGACTGTAGTTGCACGATTCCATTGCAAATAAGACAGCAGTTTTCTCCTCACAAAATGGTAAAAAAATATTTAACTGGTTTTCTATGGACACTTTAATGATGCCTGTTCGATACTCATTAGATGTCGCACGTCTTCCCCTTGTAATTCGTCTGGGAATATTTGCAACACATTAGCAAATGTATATCTATATCTTTCTTCTCCCCATATATAAATATGAATATACAGAATGTCCCTAAAGTGTGAACACAGGAAATCTTATTAACTATATTCTTTTTATCTTCACAGATTAAACATGGTTTTGTCGAAAGAAGAAAGAATTGAATTATTTTTCTTTTGCTAAAGGAGAAGGTGTACTCAATGAAAATCACAGATGCTACACACTTGATTGAACGCATAAAGAGTAAAGAAAGAATTGACTTCTTTTTCTGGAGTATGGTAAAGGAGAAGGTGTACTCAATGAAAATCACAGATGCAACACACTTGATTGAATGCCCAAGAGTGAATGTGACGGCAAAGCGGAGTTATTGCATCGAGTTCCCGTGAATCTTTGCATCATAAACGATTGAAATCTTACTGAAGATATTATTTATTAATATTCCAATTCGATAAAATGTTGAAAATTTAATTTCTTAAAAATAGGTATTTTTTGCTTATGTATCCAGACTTTAGGGTTACTATATAAAAATTATAAATATATATATATATATATATATATATATATATATATATATATATATATATATATATTAGGCAGCAAATTTTCTTTTAGGGATGTCTGATTAATTAAATTACCAACATGATGTATACTTATTTTTTATCATAATGCTTTGATATTCACGAATATTTTACGTATAATTAAATAAGACAAGAAAGGCATATATATATATATATATATATATATATATATATATATATATATATATATATATATATAGGAAAAAGCTATGTCATTTTTTATAGCTCAATAACTATTTTAGACGAAGTGCTTTAAAAGAGCTGTGGTGAAATAATTTATTACATGGAACCTTAAAGTCGTCTGCTTTTATTTTTATATATATATATATATATATATATATATATATATATATATATATATATATATATATATATATTTACATGCCTGAAGATGACGGAATGTACAGTTGAAAGTACTTGCATATTAAAAAAGACATTATACAGCTTATAATTCTTAAAAACAAGGATCATAACATTCATCGAGTGATTTGTAGGTTAATGCAACTCTAAAATTTTGTTTGCAGAGGGATTTCGCCATTTTATATCATTAACTTTACTAATCTACTTTTTGTATGAATGATTCATTGTAATACACACACACACACACATATATATATATATATATATATATATATATATATATATATATATATACATAATTTACGCACTAATGAATGTAATGTATTTGAATGTAATTCGATCTGCTAAAAAATGACTCCGATATATATATATATATATATATATATATATATATATATATATATATATATATATATATATATACACAAATAAAGGAGAGATCATATATAGACAAAAGTGTATATTTTAAAGAGAAAAGAGAAGCCGCAAACGTTTTTGGCGATAATGGGGATTTTTGTTTTATTACCTCTTAAGCAAAGAAATATTTTCTGCTACTTCAAGGAGAATTTGGATTGCTATCACTTACAGAGACAATGTTTAAACATAAAAAAACTCATAAGAAAAAAGTTAATTCTTTTAAAAAATTGTGGAAATAACTATTCTTTGCCTGAAGAAGGTCACAAGATCCGAAACGCGTATAAAAATATGGAAAATAAAGTATAATATATAAAAAATGCATCCATATTATAACCAAAAACATTTGCGGCTTCGCTTTTCTCTTTATGAAGAAATATAATTTTAAGTTATACTATATTTATGGGATAAAGTGCTTAGTATCAGAGATAGAGCGTATCTAAATATAAAAGTAAACATTGAATCAACAGTCACAGCCTCTGAGTGTTGACGTCAATGTTCTCTTTTAAAACCACAGACATTTTGTGTGGATTAATTTTATTGATCGACTTTTTAAAATTAATAATCATCTTTCTCAGAGAATGACGAAATTTCATCAGAAATTGTCTGATGTTTTCGGAAGAAAAGTACAAGAAATATGGTGCAACATGGTTTCCACCTTCGTAAGTCATTATCAGGGTAAGTAGAGACAATTGTTGAATTTCGTAAAACTAGTGAGAGCTGTGACGTCGGTAAAGATTGTTGTGATATGACGTAAATGGGGTGTGACGTCAATAAAGAGTGTTGTGACTTAAACGGG